AAGGTACCCCTAATTTGGGAAACCAACCATATGGCTTGTATTGACGGAGATAACACACGTCCTTCCTGAGCCGCAGGTGGGCAACCGCCATCGGAGCGTGAGCCATGCCCTGTCTCGCTTCCATGCTGAGAGGGAGGAGCAACAGTTGGACGCAGGATTTCACATGGTATGCGCACAGATGCAGTTGAACACGGCCACAAAATTGACATATCATTGACTTGTTGATACATAAACTTAGAGTACCCCGAGCTGCTGCCAAAGGCACTGCCGGAGCCAAAGATAGAACCTCAAACACAGCAAGCCTAGATGAGGCCTGCAGTTCGTATCACCACTGCGCTGGCGTCAGTTCGAAGAACTTGCCAGCTGGACGTTTGGAGAATATCCCAGCTGGTGGTAGCCGTTAATTCCTAGCATTCAGCAGATGAATGCAACAAGGTTACTTGCTGACTCTTGGGTGCCTGCTGCAAATTTGATGGGATGGTACACGGCTGCTGACCCAGCTGCTGCAGCCAGAAGACTCCAATGTCACCTCGGCCCAAAGCAGTTCATGATAGACCGGTTGTAGGCGCAGGGCCCTGTGGGCTCCTCGGAATGCCTAAAGCAAGTGAGAACTTCTTACACTGCATGAACGAGGTGGCTTCTGGTGCCATGGTAATCGGACCAGCATGGACTCGTGGGGAGATGGAAAAGCCAGCTGGAACGAAGAACATGGGGACCTGGACTGCGGCAGTTGCGACCTCAGGGCTCCTGACACACCAGCATGTGACCAGCTGTCATTCATGTCGAGCAGCCTGGTAATCTGCTGTTGAGGTGTATACTCCAGAGCAACAAGCTCGCTTAGGCCAGAAAGCTGTTAGCAATCGGATTGGGCGGTTTGCATCGAGCGCTATGGCATTAATTGTTGCTGCTGTTTGTAAGAGTGCTTAGTGATAAGTGTCACGCCCGCGCCAGCTGCTTACGGTGCTGCCGATAGATTCTACAATGCCTGCACGAATGCGGCCGGTAGCATGGTTCTATGCAGACGGGAGATGCTGTTGCCATCCAATTCAATTTTTTGCAAATGATCCTGCTTGCTGTGGCGATGCCTCCGTGGGTGGTGTTGCCACTGCTGCTCCCGTGTTTGTCTCCATTGTTGACTGTTGGTGCTGGCAGAAGTGCAACTAGGCGAGCCTCGTTGCAGCTTGTTCACTTGCAGCAACCTCCACCTTGCCCTGCATCTGCCTTTGCTGGTGTTGTAATCTCAATGCCTAGCAAGTGCCGCTGCGTCTTGTCGCAGGTGTTAACGAGTTTGGCCAGACGCCGGCGGCGCCAGCCAAGGCATGAAGCTGAAGTTTTCAAGCGGGGCTGGCAATGGTGGTGTGCGGTCAAAGTTTTTGGTACATGAGGCAGCGGCACCCTGTGCTGCCACCTTCGGTGGCGCAATGCCGGGAAAGGCGAGTTTGATTGTTCAGGCATGTTCCTGAACCCAGCGCTTTCTTGTGAAAGACCTCCAGGTTGGAGCCATCGGCCCCGCCTGGACCCGGGGTGAGATGGAGAAGCCAGCAGGAACCAAGGACATGGGCTCCTGGACAGCTGCTGTCGCGAGCACAGAATCAGTGGGCCAAAACATGGAGCAAAGGTCCGGGTCAAGGCTTCGCCATGTGATGCGGTGGCGGTCTCTAAGGTCTATACTGCCGAGCAGCAAGCTCGCTTAGGCCACACCAAGCACCAGCTTTTTGGATTGGCAACTGCACGTTCTAGGTTTGCATGAAGGTGATA